ATTCCAAGGCTCCTTTTCGAAGGTCTTCTTTCGAAAGTACTCTTTGATGGACCCTTTAGGAAGGCCCCTTCTGGATTCTGGATTCTTAATTTATGGGGGCTGACCGTAGCCAGCCGGCACTTAGGCCTCGCCTTTGGGCCCATTGTACCTTCCCCAAGTCCATATCAGGGTGTTTTCCCGCTCCTCTACTCGTCAAGCCATCCAACTGCTTGAATGTACTTGAGTAATGCAGAGGGTGGAAACTCCCTGATATTTGCCATACTAGGCCAGATGTCCCCTAGTATGGATTCCCTGTAGGAGGCTAGGGCTGGACACTCACGAAGAATGTGCTCAGCTGTTTCCTCTTCTTCATTGCATCCACGACAGATTGGGTCTGTTGCTACCCCTATCGTATGTAGATGTTTGTTAAACTGGTAATGTCCCGTAAGGAATCCTACCAGTTTACGCAGTTTGTCCCTTGAAAGTGAGAGATAAAATTTTGTCAACTTACGGTCTGGTGTCGCCATACAAGCTCTACTATGCCGACAGCTGCTCAACGTCGCCCATATCTGCTCATGGCGTCTATGGGTATATTGCTTTACGAGTTCGTTCGAGAGGGCGACCGAAGGCGTGATTGCCGGTTCGGGTCCCCAGAAGGGCATACGCGCGGCTCGCTTCGCCATCTCATCTGCCCTCTCGTTTCCTTCGTTGCCACTGTGTCCTTTGATCCAACAAAGTACCACTCTATTCCTCTGCGTTACATACTTTAGCGTTTGTCTGCACTCCCAAACCAGCCCGGATCGAACCATACAGCTGTCCAGGGCTAGTAGTGCAGACTTGCTGTCAGTAAGTATGCGTATTGATTTGTTGCCGATTTCACGTTCAGCAATGATTCTAGCTCCCAGCATTATTCCCATCAATTCTGTTTGTAAGACAGACGTGTGGGTGCCGAGAGGTACACTGATTTGTGCGTTCAGTTGTTCGGAGTAGATGCCGGCTCCTGAACCACTATCTGTTTTGGCACCATCGACATAGATATCTATGTCGGCTCGTCCTTCTGAATTATCACTCATTGATATTCTATATGTCTTCTCATATATTAATTTTGTGCCCATTCGGTCACAACCCATCCTCAACAAGGGTATTCTGTTGAACGCCTCCGTTAAGATCCGAGTGTGCTTCGTTGTGCGGCCTTGCTTGTTCCATACTCCCAGAGAGTGAAGTCTTAGAGACGTCGTCATTGCCGCTTCCTCTATGTAAAGGTTGAGAGGTGCTAAGCAAAGAAGAGTCTCCAGAGCCGCTGTGGGAGTGGTCCTCATTGCTCCTGTAACACTGAGACACGCCATTCTCTGAACGTGTTCAAGTTGCAGGGCTGTTGTTTTTTGTCTGGCTCTGGGCCACCAAACTAAAGCTCCATAGCACAGCATCGGTCTGACTATTGCCGTGTAGATCCAAAGGGCGATCTTGGGATTTAAACCCCACGACCTTCCCACCACCCTACGACATTGCCAGAGAGCCGAGCGTGCCTTTTCTACTTTATCATCTACATGCTTCTTCCAATTCAGTCGCCAGTCCAATACAACTCCCAGGTATTTGACTTCGTCCGAAAGTTGAAGCGTTGTGTTAAATATTTTTGGCATCTGTAGTGTGCCAATTTTCCTTTTCCTGGTGAACAGGATTAGTTTCGTCTTTTCTCCATTAACGGAGAGGGTATGTCTGTTGCACCATTCCTCGACTATTTTTACTGCAGCTTGCATTATCTCACATAATGTATCTGCGTTTTTTCCTGTTAGCAGAATGACTAGATCGTCCGCGTATCCAATTGTGTGGTAGCCAAGATCATTGAGGCGTCGTATCAGGCTGTCAACGACAGTATCCCACAGTACAGGAGAGAGAACTCCTCCCTGAGGACATCCCCTGTCTACAACAGCCTCGATCTCAGTGCCACCTACATTAATCATTACTTCCCTGTTCCTCAGCATACTGGCCACCCACCTACTTAGGGTGGGGTCCACGTCGTGCTTTCGTAGGGCTAGTTCTATGCTTTTGAAGGTCGTTTTATCAAACGCTCCTTCAATATCCAAAAACATTCCTAAGGTGAAGAGTTTGTTCTCCATCGCCCACTCTATACGGTTTACAACTGTGTGTAGGGCCGTATCGGTGGATCTTCCTTGGATGTAGGCATGTTGGTTCGGATGTAGAGGTTGCTTGCTCAAAGCAGTCTCCCGAATCTCTTTTTCGCTTAGTCTTTCTAGCGTTTTCAGCAAGAATGATGTTAAGCTAATTGGTCTGTAGGATTTAGCCAAGGTGTAATCTTGTCGTCCTGGCTTAGGTATAAAGATAACCTTTACTTTTCGCCATGCATTCGGTATGTAGCTGAAAGCCAGACACGCCCGAAGCATTGGCAACAAAATAGGGCGTAGTCTGCTCATTCCCCTCTGCAGGAGGGCGGGATAAATACCGTCAACTCCTGGAGATTTGTATGGGGAAAAGCTGTCCACTGCCCACTCCAGTCTTGCCTCCGTGACTACCTTTGCAGCCAGCGCCCAGTCCTTCGGGGAAGGTTGAGTACCGACTACATCCCTTTTGGAATGGGAGGTAGTCCGTGTGCTGCCTGGAAACATGGTCTGCAGCAAAAGTTCTGCGGACTCTTCTAAGGTGGCTGTAAAGGTGCCATCTTCTTTCTTTAGGAAACCTGGTTGATGTGTGTGGTCCTTCGAGAGAACTCTCTTCAGCCTTGCGGCCGAAGCAGTCGACGTTATGTCGCTGCAGAAGGATCTCCACGTTTCCCGTTTCCTCTTTCTTAATTCTTTTTTAAACTCTTTCCGGTGCTCTTTATAGGCTTCCCAGTCTTCAGTTTTCTTAGTGTTTTTTGCTCTATTGAAAAGTTTTCTTAGCCCCGATTGAAGTAGGCTGAGCCTTCGGTTCCACCATGGTGTACCTTTGCCCAGACCTTCCTTCTTTAGGGGGCAACTTTTCTCATACGCTGACATTAGAGAGTCGTTGATAATGGTCAAGGTTTTCTCTATGTCTTCTGTCGAAATGTATTCCGTTGGTATAGACTGCACGGAGGTCCCCAGTCTGTCGTCCAGTTCTTCGTTGTATAAAGCCCAGTTCGTCAGCCTAGGGTTCCTGTACGTCTTTATCTCCATGTCTATACATTTTGATGTATACATGATCCATCTATGGTCTGACACTGACGCCTCTTTAGAGACGTGCCATCCCATTATATATTGTGAGATATCCCATGTAGCCAGTGTAATATCTATTACTGACTGACTACGTGATGTTACGAAAGTTGGTTCGCAGCCTCGGTTGAGAATCTCTAGATTTGTTGATAAAAGATATTCAGCTAGTGTTCTTCCTCTATCATTAGTGTCTTTGCTCCCCCACAACAGACAGTGGGCATTCGCATCGGCACCGATGATGAGGTTTATATTTCCGGTATCACAGTGTTCCACCAAGTTCGCCATTTCCCATGTTGGACATGGTTCCTGTGCTCCCTGTGGTAAGTACACAGATGCTATTACCAGTTGCTCTTCGCCTCTTCCTATGTTACACTTAACATTTACCGCAGTCACATCCCTGGAGCTGACCTGAGGTAGGAGGACGGCTTTGATTTTCCTCGGAATGTAGACGCATGTCCTTGGAGATTCTATTGTGGTACCTGAAACAACAGTGCCATTTAAATTGCTCAACCCTGCGATCCTGGATTTTACAATCCATGGTTCTTGGATTATTGCTATAGTGTTCTGCATCTTGTCTAGACGACGACACAAAACAGTCGTCGCCATGCGACAATGCTGCAGGTTAATCTGAATGAAATTTATCTGCTGCAGCGCCATCTCTGCAACCAAAAATCCCATAATTGTCCTAGGAGACACGAGGCACATTCTCAGGCGGGCCCGCCCCCACTGGTAGAGGCTTCATCCCCTGGGGTTTCTACCTCTTCCATAGGGGTCCGCCCTTCCTGAGCCGACGCCTCGTTCTCCTTGAGTTTCAGGTTGAAAGAGGACAGCATATAATTAATTCTGCCCTCTCTCTCCCTGATTATCTTGGCCTCTTCCATCCCAAGACCAAACACAAAGAGGTTGCCTGGAGAGGCAGCCTCGGGTTTGGCCTCGCGATGGAAAAGAAGCCATTTTTTGACGTGGGCCCATTGGTTCTGACCCTCCAGGCGGCGAAGTACGACTCCTGCATCCACCGGTGGTCCCGGTATCCACAGGGTCGCCCTCACCAGCCTTGGTAGCTCAGCCAAGGGGACCACGTTAAGTTGTGCGCCCTCCCACAAGGGTGTTAGGGAGCGCACTGTTTGTTGTAGCCATTTCAGGGACAACTCGTCTTCACAGGTTATCCTTAGGACTTCCCCTGTGTACTTCATGCCCCTGAAAGTGGCTGCTTGTCTACCCGATGCCAAGCACTGGTCCAGTTGCCTGTCCAGCGCTCCCATCAGGCCCTTTTGTACTATATCCACCTGGCCAGCAGTCAGCTTACCAAGTGGATGCTGCACATCAATCACAGCTACACGGAGATGACTTGCAGCCGCCTCCCTGTAGCTCTGTTCTCTAGAGGTAGTCTCCTGCCTCCTCATCCTCTTTTGCTTCTCAGCTGCCGGAGGTGTGGAGGTTGAAGACCTCACTCTCTTCTTTGACCCTGAGGTCTTTTTCCCCGCGGGTTGTTTAGGGTTGGCTATCGTAGCCTGCCCTTTACCCTTGAGGTTTATCCCGGAGGAGGATGGACCCGGTTTCGGCGGGTCGGTATTCGCCGCCTCCGCCTGCAAACGAGCCTTCCTCCGCCTTTTTACCTCAGCCCCGCAGATTCGCTTCCTCCTAGGAGGCTGCGACCCCACATTGGCTGGGTTTCCTGTTTGAGGTGCACCCGAAGGCACTTCCTCAGTGGTTTTTTTATTGTTTTCGATTTCCATAATCTGGATTTTGATTTCGTCCTCCTGCGTCCCCACCCACCACGGAGTCCAACAAGGGGACGCCGAACTTCGACGTCAGGGCTAGCAGAAGGATATAGCCCCCAGGGAAGCTCATCCTGCAGTACGCAGCCTCAACTAGTGAGGCTACTCGTGCTCAGACTACACTTCCCCCAAGGACTCACCCTGTCGGCGGTCTGACCCGACGACACAGCCGATTGATCTGAGATGGGTTAGTCTCGACCTCCCGTTTTGGTGGAAATCCAGGCCAAAGAGGCGTGTTGCCCAGCCTTGGTGACACACTGCACCAAGGGGGGCTCAACCTCCAGGATTCCTTCATCCCACCTTACGGGTCTCCACGCACGGCACAAACACGCGGGAGCTTGTCCGCGGGGCTGTTTTGACGACCCCACACCAGGGGTTTAATCCCGGGGGGGCACGTTTATTTCCAGCCCTCCTCTACTGAACCGCCTTCGCGGCCGTCTAAGCCGACAACCACCAAGGCATGTCCAGGCAAGACGAGCCTCAGCCCTAACCTACATATCTGGAGAAGGGAAAAATCCAGGTCGGACTTCCACCACCCCCAAGAGTGTTTAGTTCCCGGGGGCATATCCGCCCTCCCCAGACCCCCCTTCCCCAGACAATGCCGGTCTCCCCCTATCCGCAACACTGGGGACGCGCCTGATAGGTAACTCAACCCACAGGAGGAGGAAGGCCCCTTTTCCAAGACCCTTTTCGGGGGCCCTTTTCTGAAAGCCCGCTTCAGAAAGCCTTCCCCGTAGGCTCCTTTCCGCAGACTTCTTTTCTTATGCCCCTTTGCGAAGGTTTTTTTCGAGGGCTCCGTTCTACATCTCCTTTTTGGAGCTACTTTTTTTTCCTCATCCTTTTTAAAGCTTTTTTCTTTCTGTTGATAATAATTTCGAAGGTCCTTTTACAAACGCCGTTCTCCGAAGATCCTCTTCAGAGGACTCTTCCGAAAACCCTCTTCCGAAGGCCTTTTTCCGAAAATTCCTCTTCCAAAGGCCCATTCCCGAAGGCTCCTTTTCGAAGATTCCTTTTCGAGGACTACTTTTGAAGATTACGTTTCGAAGGCTTTTTTCGCGACTCCTGTTCGCAACGTTCTTGTAATGTTTGCGACCTTGGAAGTATTTTTTTGTTAAGGTAGATTTATTTCAAGTGCGGAGCTTTCATTATCTATGTGATCCAACGCAAACTGACCTCAGTATAAACAACAAAGGTGAATATAAATCCAAATATGAAGCTAAATTTAGCGACGTTAAAAATCAAACATTTAAGTAATTAATTTTTGGCCTTCATTTCGATGTTCTCAGTGACGCATGTTAAAAAAAAACATGAAATAATTTACAAATTGTCTTTCGATTTCATCAGGTTTGGGGACACAACGAATTGATATAAGAAATTCTTCATTGGTGTTTTGTTGGTTGCATATAATAGATGAGTAATGGTGTTAGCAGTAAGCTATTTTTGGGTGTGTTTTTTTTTAAAGCTACCTTGTTCATATATTTTTTTTATTTTGCTGTTACTTAAATAAATAAATTACAATTAAGAGCACAATTGCTTCAAATACCCAATAACAAAAATATAACAGTTTCGATCATTCAAACAAACACTAGGTATATTAGTATAATCGAAAGAAATATATGACAAAAATTGAGATATTTAAGACGTATTTAGTTGCATAAAAGGAGTTGCATTTTTTATTTTTAATTTCATCGCACAACGATTTTAGTGAGTTCGCAAAATAATTTACATTCCATCTCGATTAGGGATGCCAAATTAGAACAATAGGTTGTGAAAAAATGCTTTTAATTTGTCACGATCAGTCATGATCAATTTCAGTCATTACTCGAATACTCCATTGTTTAAAAAAAAATTGTATCATGCATCAAGGATATTCCCTGACTTTATGAACTCAATTTACTGGATCACATGAAAATTTTGAATTCCTGAAACAAAGCTCTTAAATGAGATTACCAGACATGATATAACACATAACAAAGTTCATGTACCTACACTTTTTTGTAAAGTGTGTAGCTGAGCACATTTTAAGTCAACACACACTGACCGAGTGTTCGTAAATATTGGTAAGAGTCGTCTACATCACTTAAGAGCATTTTTCAGTTCGATAATCACTATCCCCATCTTCTTAAAACATTCCACTTGCTTTTATTATCACATTGATAACATTAAACCTCTCGATAGTAACCGATTAGTATCACTATGAGTCGCTAAAACTAATCAGTACCAATTAACACTTTGTTCCAGAATGTCAGAAAAAGCAGCCGCCAGCACCAATAACCTAGTCGAGGAGCCCAACTATGGCGAGGCCAAAAAACTTCCACAATACGTTGCAGCCTTGTCAGGTAAACCCTACACCATTAACTACCACCCATCTAACCCTCTCTTTCCAGTGTGTATGGGTTCGGTAGCCGCTGGCACAGTCCTTGGATGGACTGGCAACATCACCAAACTAAACCTAGCCTCCGGCGACTTGAACGACATCCTTGTAGATCCAGACGTAGATTATGGATGGATTGGTTCCTTCATGACTCTCGGAGCCATGCTCATGTGCATCCCCATCGGTTTCTTATGTGATCTGATCGGTCGGAAGTACGCCATGCTGCTATCCATCCTGCCCTTCACCCTTGGTTGGTTGCTCATGATCTTCGCAAACAGCACAGGCATGATTTTCGCAGGGAGATTCATAACGGGGTTAGCTGGAGGTTCCTTCTGTGTTTCGGCACCTCTATACACCAGCGAAATCGCCCAAAAAGAAATCAGAGGAGCGCTAGGAAGCTACTTCCAGTTGCTGTTGACCGTTGGCATTCTCTTCGCTTACATTCTGGGAGCCATCAGCAGCCCCCAAATCGTGTCAGTGGTTTGTGCCATCGTCCCGCTTTTCTTCGGAGTGGTCTTCTTCCTCCAACCAGAAACCCCTGTGTATCTTCTGAAGAAAGGCAAAGACGCAGAAGCAACTCAAGCGCTGAGGAGGCTTCGAGGAAACAACTACGACGTGAATGGAGAAATCCAGGAAATAAAAGATTCAATACAGCAGGCAAAAAGCATGAACACTTCTCTCAAAGAATCTTTCAAGAAGAAAGCCACCAAGAAGTCTCTTCTGATTTGCTTCAGTTTGATGTTCTTCCAGCAGTTTGGAGGAATCAACGCTGTGATTTTCTACGTCGGAGATATTTTCGACGCCGCTAACACTTCTTTGTCGTCTTCTTACGCCACAATCATCGTTGGTGTGATGCAAGTGGTTGCGACTTTTGTTGCTTCACTGGTCATCGACAAGTTCGGACGAAAAATTCTTCTGATTATATCGGATCTGGTTATGGCTCTTTCTGGAATTGTTCTTGCCATTTATTTCACTCTCAAAGACCGGGAGCTTATTTCGAAAGAAGAGGTTAACAATATTGCATTTTTGCCCATTCTAGCTGTTTGTATATTTATTATTGTTTTCTCGCTGGGTTTCGGACCCATTCCATGGATGATCTCGGCGGAGCTTTTGCCCCCGGAAATTAAAAGTAACGCCAGTTCGTTAGCTGCAACTTTCAACTGGCTGCTGGCTTTCATTGTTACTAAATTTTATGGTGATTTGACCAAGGCGATTTCTACTGATGTTACTTTTTACATTTTTTCTGTGATTTCGTTGATAGGGACAGTTTTTATTATTTTCGTAGTTCCGGAGACCAAGGGCAAGACGCTGGATGAGATCCAGAGGGAGTTGAATGGAGAGTCACCGGATAGACAAGGAATAGATAATAGAGGATTTACTAGTTAGTCTGTTTGTCTAGTTGAATAGGTTTTTAAACTCAATAGATGTACATTTTAACTGCTATTTAAGTGTTTTAGATATATAAGTTGTTGATATTCATTAAGTTGTTTATTTTTATGATTTTGTAACACAATGGCTACGACTATGTTGTGTAACTTCTAGTCACATTTGGTCCGGGAAACAACATAAGCAATAAATTTATTGTATGGAGAAATTTTATATTTAATACAAACATTTAACTGAGAATAAACTAATTTATTATAACTAATGAGTTTTTCTTCCTGGTGCTGATCTGAATTTAGAGAAAAACCTATTGTTTACCCTATTTGAATTAAAGACGATGTAGATTCTAATACATTTTTCTTTATTTTCGTTTGACCATACAAGAAGGGAATTCTGTATGCATGATTTAATGTTTACTTGGCTCGTATTAGAATTTAAAGGCGGTTATAATATCAAGGCGTATCTGTTTCACTTATTGAAGAGGAATTTAACACTGAAATGTCAATTTTATATTTATTTCCTATTCTTTAGGTCAATGGAAACGCTCGTAGAATAATAAGCTCTGATATGATATAAATGGTGTTGTAACACAGTTTCATTCAATGAAGGTTTAGAGGTGGGGCAAGGAAACAATAGTAGCCAAATATTAACTCTAGATAAATAGAATTCGGTACAAACATTGAATACCATTCAATGTCAAGTTGTAACATTTTTGTAGATTACTTATTCGATCATGGCTTTAATATTATGTTTAAAATTTTAATTGAGTTATAAATGTTCTTTTTGATACCTTCAATAATAATTTTTGGAATCACAGAAGCTCTAGGTTTTAAAATTAATCTGCATACTTTCATCAGAAATGTTTATAAAGTCTGTTATCTTCTATTTGGTGTTCTCATAAATCATTATCATTTGAACATCTAATACACTAATCGTTCAAATTTTTGTTTATTTTAAGTGTTTGTTGGTATTTTTTTGTGCCAAGCACAAATTAGTCACAAGGTTCAGACGGCCATCGCGGTTCATAATCTTCGATTTAAGTTCGAGTTAGGTTTCCCAATAAAAATTGTATAAATGCGTGCTTATTTATCTTATTGCGCAAGTTTTTATTTATTTACTTTTTATTGTACCTTGTGTAGTTTTTTCTTTCGGGTGTCTTCTTGATGTTAAGACAGATTCATAAACGACAAGTATTTTGTACAATTTAAATAAGATTTTCCTTTCTTGGTGGGGATAATTAGACAAATTTTGGTTAGCACTTTACCATCTACACGATGTTCTTAATATACACACAAAATTTGACAACAATCGGTGCATAAATTTCGAGATCATCTACTTTTTCGTGCTCTACGGGTAATGAAACTTCGGATAAACATGAAAGTAGCCATTTGTAAAGGGACCTTAGAGAGTGGTCTTCGGGAAAGTCCCTTTGGCAGAGGAGTTTCGAGAGGATGTCTTCGAAGAGGAGCCTTCGAAAAGGGACTTTCGAAAATAAGCCTTTGGAAAGGAGCCTTCGGGAAATGATCTATCGAAAAACTGCCTCGTGAAAGGGGCTTTCGAAAGCTGTCTTAAAAAAAGGCTTCGAAAAGGGCTTTGGAAAAGAATCTCTCGGAAAAGGGCGTTCCGGAAAAGAACCTTTAGGAAAGGGTCTTCGGGAATGGAAATCGTCTTCAGAAAAGGGTCTTCGAAAAACATCCTCCGAAACAGTGTCTTCGAAAGGGAGACGCAAAAAAAGCTTTGAAAAGCACATTTCAAAAAACAGATCTTGAAAGAAGCCTTCGAAAAAGAGCCTTTGAAATAGAGGCTTTGAAAAGGAGCCTTCAAAGAGAAGCCTTCGAAAATGACCTTTCGAAAGGGGCTTTCGAACAGAGGTTACGAAGAGAGGCTACAAAAAAGGGGTCTCGGGAAAAGGTGTTCGGGAAAGGCCCTTCGGTAGGGGGGGCTTTGAGACAGAACCTTTCGAAAGGAATCTTCGAAAAGTCTTTAAAAAAAAGAAGCCTTGATAAAAAGGTTTTTGAGAAGAGGTTTTAGGGTATAGATCTACCGGAAAGTGGCCTTCGGAAAATGGTCTTCAAAAAAGAGTCATCGACAGAGTGCTTCGCGAGAAGATCTTCGAAAAAGGGTTTTCATAAAAAGGCCCTCGGAAAAGTGCTTTTACAAAACAGCTGCAAGAAAAATCTTTGAAAAGGAGGCTTCGAATGAGGTCTCCAAAAAGAGGCTCAGAAATGAAAGGGATCTTCGGGAAACGGCTCCTGGAAAAGGGTTTTCGGGAAAAGCCCTTTGGAAAGGCTGTTTTCGAAAGGGAACCTTCGAAAAGGCGTCTTCGAAGAGGGCCTTCGAGAGAGAGAGCCTTTGAAAAGGGGTCTTCAAAACCGATCTTAAAAAAGAAGCCTTCAGAAGGGGACCTTTGAAAAGAGATCTAAAGAAACGGATTTTCGGGTATGGGCTTACGGGAAAGGGGTCTTTAGCAAATGGTGTTCGAAAAAGGGTTTTTGCAAAGAGGTCTTAGGAAAAATATCAAAAATGTCTTCAAAAAGCTTTGAAAATGTGGCTTCAAAAAGCACATCTTGAAAAATTCATAAAAGACCTCCGAAAAAGATTTTTGGAAAGAACTTTCAAAAAGGAGCCTTCAAAAAGGGATTTTGGAAAGGGACCTCAGGAAAGAAGACTTCTAAAAGAGGGCTCAAACAGGAACCTTCGGAAAAGAGCCTTCAAAAAGGAGTCTTTTAGAAGAGATTCGAAAACAGGTATTTGAAAAAAGGACTTCGAAAAGAAAGGCAAAATAGCCTTAAAAAAGAAGCCTTCGAAAAGGGTTTTCGAAAGAGAGCCTTTGAAAAGGGATCTTAGAAAAAAAGACCTCGGAAAAGGGCCTTCGGGAAGAGGTCTCCGCAAATGGACTTTCGGGTATGCGTCTATGGAAAAGAGGCCTTCGGGAAATGGTCTTCGGAAAAAGGTCATCGGAAAAGTTCTTCGGGAAAGGATCTTTGAAAGTTACCTTACAAAGGAAGACTTCGAAATGGGTTTTGGAAAAGAGGCCTTAAAAAATATCTTTGGGAAAGAGTATTGGGGAATGGACGTACGAGAAAAGGCCTTTAGGAAATGCTCTTCAGAAAAAGTTCTCCGAAAAACGTCCTTAGAAAAAGTGCCCTCGAAAGGAAGCCCGAGAAAGCTTTGGAAAGAAGGCTTCAAAAAAGGTATTTTGAAAGAAGTCTTCGAAAAAGAGCCTTTGAAAAGGGGCGTTCTAAAAGAAGCCTCAGGAAAGGAGCTTTCGTAAAAGAGCTTTCGAAACAGACCCTTCGAATTGGGCCTTCAAAAAGAGGTTTCGAAAAGAGGCCCCAGAAAAGGAGCTTCGGGAAAGGTTGTTCGACAGGGGGGGATCGAGAGAGAACCTTTGAAAAGAGTTCTTCAAAAGGGACCTTAAAATAAGGAGCCTTCGTAAAAAAGTCTTCGGGAAAGCGTTTTCGGGTACAGACCTACCGGAAAGGGGCCTACGAGAAATTGTCTTGAAAAAAGGATCATCGGCAGAATGCTTCGGGAAAGGACCTTCGAAACAGGGTCTTTATAAAAAGGTCTTTGGAAAACTACTTTCAAAAACCAGCTGCAAGAAAAATCTTTGAAAAGAAGGCTTTGAAAAAGATGGTTTGAAAAGAAGCTCCAAAAAGAGGCCTTGGAGAAGAAACCTCTGAAAAGGGGAGCTCGGGAAACGGCCTCCGGGAAAGGCCTTTTCAGAAAGGCCCTTTGACAGGGGTTTTAGACAGTGTGCCTTCGAAAAGGAGTGTTTGAAAACGGCTCTCGAAAGAGAGCCTTTGAAAAGGGATTTCCCAAAGGGGCCTTCGGAAAAAGGTCTTCGAAAACGGACTTTCGGGTATGGGCCTATGGAAAAGGGTCCTTCGGGAAATGGTCTTCAAAATAGGATCTTTCCAGAAAGGCCTTAAGAAAAATGCCTTCGAAAATCAGCCGCGAAAAAACGCTTTGAAATAGAAGCGCGAAAAAAGTTTAGAAAAAGAGACTTAAAAAGAAGAACTTGAAACCAGCCTTTGGAAAAGAGTTTGAAACAGCGGCTTTCGGAACGAATCTTGACGTCTGAAAAAGGGTCATTACAAAACTACTTGGGAAAAGGGTTTTCGAAAAAGGGTCTTCGCAAAAATGCCTTGAAAAAGCTTTGAAAAAGAGGCTTCAAAAAGGACATTTTGAAAACTTCGTAAAAGAAGCCTTGGAAAAGAACTTTCAAAACGGGGCTTTCGAAAAGAGATCCTCGGAAACGGAGGTTAGAAAAGAAGCCTTCGAAAAGGAACCTTCGGAAAGCGTTTTCGAAAGAGCCTTTGAAAAGGGATCTTCGAAAGGGGTCTTAGAAAAGAAGTTCTCGGAAAAGGGCTTTCGGAAAGAGGTCTCCGGTAACGGACCTGCTGGTATGGGCCTATGGAAAAAGGGCCTTCTATAGATGGTCTTCGAAAAAGGGTCTTTGCAAAAAGGACTTAGGAAAAATGTCTTTGAAAATCTTTGAAAAAGAGATTTTGAAAGCAGCCTTTGAAAAAGAGCCTGAGAGAGAGCCTTGAAAAAACCCTGAAAAGAGAGCTTCAAAAAGAACATTTTGAAAAACTCATAAAAGAACCCTTGAAAAAGATCTTTAGAAAAGTGCTCTTTGAGAAGGGCATTTGAAAACGGTTCTTTAAAAAGAGGTTTTCGCATGGGAGTCTTAGACATAAAGCCTTCGGAAAGAAGCTTTGGAAGAAATCCTTGGAAAAGAGCCTTTGGGAAAGGAGCTCTCGGAAAAGGGCTTTGGGAAAGAGATCTTCGGGAAAGGGCCTTCGAAAAGGGGCAGTAGTTTTGGAGATTATCTGTTTAATAAAAATTGACAGACGATAGACTGACGGAAACGGGAGACCACTTCTTTCGTACGCTAGGGTTTTTGCCCGTCCAATTTTCAGTGTTCTTGATTAAGGACCATGAACACTATGTTTTTAAATTCGCCGTAATCTGTCTTCCACAATTGTTTGTAGATTGTTCAAAACAAAACTATTTTACCTTTTCCCGAGTAGGTACCGTCGAAAATTATCAAGGAAATTTCTTTTTTTCTTGTAAATTATTTATTACACGTATTTTGCTTTCCACTGTCATTCATGATCATCAAATGTTCTTGCAAAAATTCTTGTCTCTGGCGGTAACAATTTTTTTTAAGTGTTCTATTTTCTACTATCTTTTGTCAGTACTGAACTATTTTAATTAGTGTAATTACCATAATAGTTGGAACTTTTTTAGTAAACAAACTAAGAAAAATACGTCTTGATGTTAAATTTTTTCTACGTAAAAATTTGCAAAGTATTTACTGTAATAAAGATTAAATATGTATTTTGTTACATTGTAAGAGACACAAGGGCGGCTAAAAGTGTCCAAAAGTATGATTAGAATGTTCTAAAACAGACCAAACAATATGACATATTACTAACAAATTAATTTTTTAAATTTTGACACTAATACCTGAAATGAATCAACCGGTTTCATTAGAGCTTTTTCTGTTTAATTATCTCCAGAACCAGTCTTAATTTTCTTTGACTCATCAAATTTTGCTTCTAGTTTGATAAAAAGATACAAAAATTGTTGTTCTGACCATTCATGCAATTTTGTTATATGTATACATATATTTATGAAAATTTAAATCATATTCAAAAATTTTTTAAGTACTAAAATCTGCCGCATACCGACTTACATTCAAAGCCTTACGAACGATAAAAAAATTCCTAACTTTTCCAACGCCTTCATTAACTAATTATGTAGATAAATGTATCCTTAGAATTCTCGACCATGTGGCATTGACATTTTTCGCAGCACCCAAGTATAAAAGCACAGTTCGAACTCGACGCTTCTTCAGTTTACCGAAACATGAAACTCTCAGTGCTTCTGTTTTCTGTTCTAATCGTGAGCATCAGTGCCCATGGTAAGCATTCTCCCCATGACACCACCTTCGGCTACTAAAAACCTCAAAATCTTCAGATCATCTGAAATCCCGCCACCATCCTCACTCAAAACACTCCCATTTGAAGAATCGCGACAACTCTGAAGAAAACCCCCCTTCAAACAACACCCAAACAAAATGTAGCAACGGTGGTCTACAGGTTAGCTACAACGCGTCTACCCGGGTTGAAATAGTTTACAACCAAAAAGGAAAAGTGGGTGTCGTCGTCGACAGCAAAGCTTCCCTAACCATCATCTTCAACGACGACTCTAAAGTTGCTATAGCGATCAATCTCAAACTTAAGACCGGAGTACAACTTCGTAGTGACAACTTGAACGGTAGCTGGAGTCTTTACTTATCGAGCCAAACATCTCTTACAGAAGTTGTCGAAAGCAGAAAGAACTCCTCTTTTAACGCAACGTCTCCTCCTCCCGAGGTGAGCCAAGAGGCTAGTTCCATTTTGAGCAACTTAAGCACGCAGTATGGCCAACTGCCCAATTTCATCAGCGACGTCCAAGTTATTGTTAAAGTCACTGAAGAATTTTCTAGCAACATCGGCAGCTTTAGCACTCAAGTTTCTTACGATTTATTCGTCGTGGTGAGACGTTACGAGAGTTTGTTCTTTGTGTTGAACAGACTTAACGCCACTGGTAACAGTAGTTTAGACTTCGGAAAGCTTCTCCCACAGCCTACAGGTATCGATTTCTTCAGGGCGTTTTTAGATCAGTTACCACCAGGTTTCGATATAACAAAAATTTTGGGCAACAGCACACAATCGACGCAGGGTTTCCTGGAATTTCTGGGTCAGTTTGACTGCTTCATTCGCGTCATTGCTAATATAAATAGGGCGCGAAATGGTAGCTGTCCCCCCCAAGAAGTCATTCAGAGTTTGATAGAACATTTTCGTATTCCGTATTCCGAGGGTGATGTGCAAAAATCTATCCAAAATTTGTTGAAAACAATAAGTGGAAGACTTAATGGAAATGGTTCTGGTGCAGGGGATTTGTCAAGCTTGAACTTCTCGGATCTTCTTCCAGGCATTGCAAATTCAACTACTATTCAAAACGCGCTTACAAACAGGACTGCAAATCAAGGCTTTGCTATCTTCAATATTATAAGTATTTTAAGTTCGTTATCGGGGACAATACCTGCTGACAACTCTCTTCCTAATTTTCTTGGACAGTTATTTTCTTTATTCGGAACAACCAACGATACATCTGTCTTAACCAACCTAATTCCTCGCTATTCTGATTCTCGATTTGGTTCTGTTGAAAATATCGTTACCGGCTTTATCAAAATATTTACCACGGCAATTCAGGTTGGTGCCGAAATAGCTGCATTCTTTATCACTTTTCCGATAAGATTTATCTTGCTACCTTTCCTTGCTGCGGTATCAGATTTCTTTAGAGGATTATGTCTCCCAGATTTGCTCCGATCTCAAAACATCATTGACTTCTTCTTCCGAGGATTGAATGTTTTTATCAGAGTCCCTATTAGTATGTTTTCGGCTTTCATAAAAGGTATTACGACAGCTTTAGAAGGTGTTGGAGAGCTGGGAGGAATTCTTGAAGGTCTGGTTAATATAGGTGGAAGTAGAACCGGGGGATGTTCGTCAATTATAGGAAATTTGGCGGATAGAGAACATGTTCATGCTAGACACTCGCATCATGAGCGCCACCATTCAGGTGATTTCTTCAGTTAGAGATAATTTTTTACTAATTTGTGTTTAGGTAAAGGCAAGAAACACGGAAATAAAGAAAAGAAACACGAGGTTAAAGAAAAAACACACGAACTCCACTATAAGAAGAGAGAAGTGAAAGAGAAGCGGGCTGGAGTAAGAGAGAGGAAGGTTGAGCATAAGAAGCGCGAACTTCATCATAATTGAATATAATTTTGTTCTTGTTTACCAGACTCCAAATGGTCTTGGTTCAATATTTATTACCTAAATTAACAATAAATGTGCAAAACGTATTTTATTTTTTTTAACTCCTGCTATCAGTTTTAAGTGTATGTTTGTAATACGTCGTTGCTAAAGCAACATTTTAGTAACTGAGTTGTGAGGTTTATTTTTTGTAAGCAAAAATAAATTTCATTCAATGTTTTGTTGTCCATCAATGTTTTCTCAATCGAAGTGAGATTTATTTAATGATATTTTGGGATGACATCATTCAGAAAACGATACAAAAAATGGAGATTGTTGTAATTTTGAAATCACTTTTTCAACCACTAAATGTAAAATGTTTTCAGTTATGTCCAAAAAATATATCTAGAGAATGTATAGTTTTTGTTTTTGGGGAAAAAAGTAATTACCTAATATTATAACAGAAAAATTTTGGTGTATTCTCTAACAGTGAATGTCGAAAAAAATAACAAAACATTCCATATCAAATGCTTCTCTATAAAGAGTTTAAAATATTCTTTCTTTCCGAGCGCAAGCTAAGATAATTTAGTATGTATTGTAATCCAGTTTATGGGGCGATTGGCTACTTTCATGTTTTCTCGACGTTTCATGACCCCTAGAGTACGAAAAACGATATCTACCGTTTCCGTCTGTCTGTTTATCATATAAAATTTGTCTTCTCATCCCCACTAACAATGGAATGAGGTCATCTCCAAATTTTAGAATAGTAAATGTTTTACCTTAGGCATCTACATTTTTGGAAGAAAAATCAAAATTGTATAATAACATTTTACAATTGACTTTAAAATTGCAAAATCGAGTTCTTTGAAATCTTGAAACGTTTTAATGTTATCGGAAGCATCGTTAATCAAAATTTATTCGTTCATGCTACTGCAAGAATTAATCTCATTCTACAATTTTGTCCAATAAATGTCATTTAAATCTTAAATAATAATAATTAATAATAATAATAGTAATTTATTACAGTCCAAAGAGCAAACTCATGTAGGGCAAAACAGTACACAATAATATTTAAATAATTTCATAATAATCAAACAAAAAACATACAAGTTATCACTTATCAGTAAGTACACGTTTACATTATTTGTGGTGTATAATTAAAACTTATAACATAGACTTTTACAAGTAGAATAAAAAGTAGTACAGTCCTGAACTTGCGGTATATGAATCCGTTTTGAATTTTTATCATAGACATCGAGATTTTTGGAAAGAAAAAAATCAAAATTGTAGATATAATTTTAGTTTCTTAATGTTTCGAATTTTCGATTTTTCGGCTTTCCATTTCTCGATTTTCAATTTTCGATTTCTCAGTTTGTCGATTAGTCACTTTTGTGATTTTGCAATTTCTCGATTTCTCTACTTTGCAATGTTTTGATCTTTCAGGTATTCAATTCTTCAATTTTCGATTTTTCAATTTTTTTATTTTTAAAATATTTAGTTTTTGAACTTCGATTTTTTGATTTTTCAATTTTTATTAATTTCTCAATTTTACGATGTTTCAGTTTTGGATATTTTTTTAATTTTTCAATTTGTGGATTTTTCAATGTTTCGATATTTCAAATTTTAGATTATTAGATTTCTCAAATGCTTGTTTAATGTTCTTTGATATTTCTGTTTTTCAATTTTTCGAATTTTTGAATTTTAGATTTTTCAGTTTTTTAATGTTTCGATTTCTGGATCTTTCGATTTTTCGACTTCTTGGTTTTAGATTTTTCGATTTTTGATTTTTTCAATTTTTAAAATATTAGTAGAATTTTTCAATTATCAGTTATTAAATCTTTCTATTTTTCAATTTTTTCATTTCTCGATGTATCTAGATTTCGTTGTTTCGATTTTTTATTGTTCAGTTTTTAGATTCTTCTATTTTTCGATTTATGGCTATTTTTTAATTTTAAATTTTTCAATTTTTAACTAATATTCGTTTTTTCGATTATAACCTGTTTAGATTTGTCAATTTTTCGATTTTTCAGATTCTCGACTTTTCGATTCCTCTGTTTCATTTTTTGAATTTTTCAGAGTTTCGATTTTTTGATTGTTCGGTTTTTCGATTTTTCAACTTTTCGGGTTTTCAGTTTTTCGATTTTCCATGTTTTCGGTTTTTAAATTTTAGATTTTTGAATTGTTGGTGTTCCTATTTCTCGATTTTTCAATTTTTCGTTTTCTTAATTTTTCGTTATTTCAGAGTTTTGGAATTTTTTAATTTCTCGATTTTTCAGTTTCTTGATTCTTCAATTAACCGATTTTTGAATTCTGCGATTTTTTAAATTTTGGAGTTTTGATTTTTCGATTTCTGGGTTTCACAATTTTTTGATTTCTTAAATTTTCAGCTTTTTGACTTGGATTTTTTGATTTATCAAGTTTTTAATATAACAATTTTTCAATGTTTCAGTTTTGGGATCTTTTCGTTTCTTCATTTTTTCCCATTTTTCAATTTTTCTATATTTCAAGTTAGGAATTTTTCAATATTTCGGTTCTTCCAATTTTCTATTTTTTGACTTTTTACTTTTTCGATTTTTTAATTTTTAATTTTTAAGTTTTGGATTATTTAATTTTCCAATGTTACGATTTTTCAATATACGTATGTATCGATTTCTCGACTTTTAAAATTTTCCGAAATTTTATTTTTTCAATTTTTAAAATTTTAGATTTTTCGATTTCTCGAATTCTCGATTCATCAGTTCTTAGATATTTGTTTTTCAATTTTTCGAATTTTTAAACGTTACGTTTTTCAGTTTTTTAATGTTTCGATTTCTTGATCTTTCGATTTTTCATTTCTTGGTTTCAAATTTTTTCGGTTTTTCAATTTTTCAATTTTTAAAATTTTGATTTTTCAATTTTCGGTTGTTAAATTTTTCTATTTTTCAATTATTTGAATCCTCGATTTAAAATTTTGATTTTTCAATTTTCGGTTGTTAAATTTTTCTATTTTTCAATTATTTGAATCCTCGATTTATCAGATTTCGTTGTTTCGATTTTTTGATTGTTCAGTTTTTAGATTCTTCTATTTTTCGACTTATGGCTATTTTTCAACTTTAAATTTTTCAATTTTTAACTTTTCGCTTTTTCGATTAAGATCAATTTGGATCTGTCAATTTTTCGATTTTTCAGATTCTCCACTTTTAGATTTCTCGAAATTTCGATGTTTCGATTTCTCTGTCTGAAATTTTCAGAGTTTCGATTTTTTTAATTCTCGGTTTCTCGATTTTTCAACCTTTCAGGTTTTCAATTTTTCGATTTTTCAGTTTTCGATATTTCGATATGTCAGAATGTTTTTTTTTTTATTTTTTGATGTTCCTATTTCTCGATTTTTCAATTTTTCGATTTCTTAATTTTTCGTTGTTTCAGAGTTTTGAAATTTTTTAATTTCTCGATTTTTCAGTCTTTCGATTCTTCAATTTTCCGATTTGTGAATTCTTTAATTTTTTAAATTTTGTATTTTCAATTTCTCAATTTTTCGATTATTCAATTATCCAATTTTTTAAATTTTGGATTTTCGATTTCTCGGTTCTTTGATTATTTCGACTTTTCGATTTATCACTTTTTTGGTTTTTAAACTTTCTATTGTTGAAATGTTTAATTTTTTAATTTTTTTTCGTTTTCTCGATTATTCAATTTTTCCATATTTCAGTTTTGGGATTTTCCAATATTTCGATTCTTCCATTTTTTGATTTCTCGACGTTTTAATTTTTCGATTTGTCAATTTTTCGATTTTTAAATTTTGGATTTTTTAATTTTTCAGTTTTTCAATTTTTTAATGTTTCGATTTCTCGATACTATATTTTTTATTATTCGATTTCTGGAATTTTGATAGTTCTATTTTTCAATTTTTCGAATTTTTAAATTTTACACTTTTCAGTGTTTTGATATTTAGAATTTTTTGATTCCTCGGTTTTAGATTTTCCCATTTTTCAATTTGTCTATTTTTAAAATTTTTGGTTTTTTCAATTTTTTGATTGAATTTTTTCATCGTTCGATTTTTCAATTTTTCAGTTTTTCGATTATTTTAAACATAAATTTTTCAATTTGTTGTACTTTTTGTTGCTTCGATTTCTCAGTTTCAGTTTTTGAATTTTTCAGACTTTTGATTTTTCAATTTTTCAATTTTTCAATTTTCCAATTTCTTCTTTCTTCTTTTTCGACCTTTTTCGTCCTTTTTCGTCCTTTTCGTCCTTTCCGTCCTTTTTCGTCCTTCTCGTCCTTTTTTCTCCTTTTCGTCCTTTCTGTCCTTTTTCGTCCTTCTTCGTCATTTTCGACCTTTTCTTTTTTTTCGTCCTTTTTCGCTCTTTTTCATCCTTTTCGTCCTTTTCGTTGCGTTTGGTCCTTTCTTCCTTATTGTCCTTTTCGTCCTTACCGTCCTTTTTCGTAATTTTCCCTCCTTCTCGTCCTTATTCGCCCTTTTCGTCCGTTTTCGTCCTTCGTCGTCCTTCGTCCGTTTCGACCTTTTCCTCCTTTTCGTCCTTCTTCATCCTTTTTCGTCCTTTTCGTCCTTTTTCGTCCTTTTCGTCCTTTTCCAAGATGGCTGAAGGTGCGGACACGCAAATTTCGCTCCGCTGTGGAAAATGTAAAATCAAGGTTATAAAAGGACCTAAGTGTGTATCTTGTGGTTCAATATTTCATCTAAGTTGTGCTAAGTTACTAAATAGAGTGAAATTTATAAATGATTACTCAATTAAATGCTGTGATTCAAGTGATAATCAAGTAAATGATGTTGAATATGCTTCTGCTGATTTGTCCATACCGCTGAGTGAGTCCCAAGAAATCAAGTACTTGAAACGAATTATAACCGAGAAAGACATTGTGATTAACCAGCTTCGTGAACATAACTCTTTACTAAAAGATCATATTAGTTCTTTAAACATACTTGAAAAATTCAGTGGTCTTATCAATGATTCGAGTTCTTCTGCAAGCAAAAACGTTAAGTCCGATAAGGCAAATCAAGGGGATCGTTCGCAATTGCAAATAAAGTCAAAAGCATATGTCAACCCCAAGGTGACGGACCCAGGTGTAAACATTTCCTTAAATCAGTTGCCTACAAACTCTGAAAATGAAACTCTCCCTTCGGAAACGACACATGCCGCTGGTCTGAGTTTATCTCTCACTACGAGTGATGATCTAAATACAAAACAAAATCTTCATGAATTGGAAGAACTTCAGAAAACAGTAATGAACTCACTAATTGATATTAACAACGATGTAAGTAACTCTCATCCAATCGAAGATTTGGTCAGTAATAATCAATTCAAAGAAGTGGTATACAAGAAAAAAAGAAATGTTATCAAAAGTAACGCCAAGGAGTCAGAGGCTAATCCTAAGAAGTCTGTCGATTTTTTTTTCTACCGGCCTAAACCAATTATCGGCACTTCAAACAACAGAAAACTCTTAAGTGTTCTCAAAAAGTCTACTATCTCTATACATCTAAGTCGCCTTGTCCCTGCCACAACTGAACGAGATATCTTAGATTATCTTGGTACTCTGAACAAGGACGTTTTATGTGAAAAGTTAGTTTCCAAGAAACCCGATGTTTACTCTTCTTTTAAAATTGAAGTTCCCAGAGATCTTAAAGAAACTCTCCTCTCTCCTAGTTATTGGCCTGAAGGTGTTTTGGTAAATATTTTTTTTCGAAGAAGCACACCCAGCAGACCATAAAACCATGACAAGCTCCATTAATTCATCTCTCTATGCAGTTAATTTATTTTAGGAATTTATTTTAAAATGTAAGTTGTGCGTTTCTGTTTATTGTAGTTTATTGTAGTTTTTTCTTTATTTTACTCTGTAATAGCTTTATTGGCGTTAATAAATGCAATTATTATTATTTCCGTCATTTTTCGTCCTTTTCGTCCTTTTTCGTCCTTCTTCGTCCTTCGTTCTTTTCGACCTTTTCCTCTTTTTTGTCCTTTTTCGTTCCTTTTCGTCCTTTTTCATCCTTTTTCGTCCTTTTCGTCCTTCGTCCTTTTCGTCCTGTTACGTCTTTTTACGTCCTGTTTCGTCCTCTTCTTTCTTTTTGTAGTTTTTCCGATTTTTGGATTCCTCTGTTTTAGATTTTTTGGTTTTTCAATTCGTCAATTTTTAAAATTCTTGATTTTTTTCAATGTTCGGTTATTAAATTTTCGTTTTTTCCATTTTTCGATTTCTCGATTTATCGAGATTTCGATGTTTCGATTTTCTGAACATTTAATTTTCAGATTTTCCGATTTTTCAATTTGTCCATTTTTTAATTTTTTTAATTTTAAATTTTTCAATTTTTCAATTTTTAACTGTTCGTTCTCCATGATGACCTATTTCGACTTCTTAATTTTTCGATTTTCGTTTTCTCGACTTTTCGATTTTCCGACCTTTCGTTGCTTCGCGTTCCCTGTTTCAGATTTTGAATTTTTCAGAATTTTGGTTTTTCGATTTTTGACTTTCCGGTTTTTTAATTTTTCGATTTTACAATTTTTAGTCATCATAGTTTTGGAATATTTCAATTTTTAGATTTTTCAATTTTTCGGTTCTTCAAATTTCCGGTTTTTCATTTTTTTTTTCTGGATTTTCAAATTTTTCAATGTTTCGATTTCTTAACTCTTCAATTTTAACATATTTTAATTTTTCAATTTTTCATTTTCTCGGTTTTTTAAATTTTAGATTTTTCGGCTTTTCGATTTTCCTTTTTTCAAATGTTTCGATGTTTCGATTTTCCAATTTTTCGATTTCTTAATTTTTCGTAATTTCAGTTTGGGAATCTTTTAATTTTTCGATTTTTCAGTTTTCCAGTTTTTGAATGGTTCGATTTTTTAAATTTTGGATTTTCGATTTCTCGGTTTTTTCATTTTTCAACTTTTAAATTTTTCAATTTTTCAATTTTTAACTCTTCGCTCTCCATCAGGATCTATTTCGACTTCTTAATATTTCGATTTTCCGACCTTTTGTTGAAGTTTTTGAATTTTTCGCAGTTTTTGTTTTTCGGTTTTTCAATTTTTCGATTTTCCAATTTTTCGATTTCTTAATTTTTCGATATTTCAGTTTGGGAATCCTTTAATCACTCGGTTTTTTAGTTTTTCGATTCTTCAATTTTACAATTTTTGAATTCTCCGATTTTGGATTTTCTATTTCTCGGTTTTTCGTTTCTTCGACTTTTCAATTTTTCATTTATTCGATTTTTAAATTCATCAGGACTCCTAAATTTTGGAGCCACAGTTCAGGTGGGACTATAAATTATATCCTGGGTTTCAGCAAGGGCAAAGGACTCTTTTAGGACGCAACACTGTGAGGGGTAGCACACAATGGACCAAAAAAAACCTTAGCAACAAAAATAAATTATTAAATTAAAATAGTCAATATAAAAAAAATAAAGTAACAAAAATAGCATGTAAAAAGTTGTAGAGAATCCAAGAACCCCCATGAAATAAAACAATCTTGAATTTTGATAGTATAAACGTGCAACTATAGAGTGACCTTTAAAAGAGTTCTGTTCTATGACGAAAAAGTAGCAAGATTTGGATTTCAAAGGGAAATTTCCAGTTGACCAAGAATCGAGAAAACTCTGGAACACTTTAGATCAACTAGACTATTAAATCAAGGGACAAACAACTAAGAATACAATATGAATTCAATTTTCAAAAAAATAAATTTCCAAAAATAGTCAAGTAAAAAAAAAGGTGTATATATCTCTAAATTGTTAGCTACGAGACTTCAATAAGCTGAATCATGGTATTTCTTTCCCTTTATTAAGAAACTAAATGTGCAGAAATATGCATTTAAACACAATGTATATTATAATCTAGGAAAATAATTTTTAAATCTACTTTTCGAAAGCCTTTTTTTGCTACAAAATAACTATACGACCTTACCCAACTTCGCTTCACTATTCATTTTTTCTACAACGCAATTTCCGAAGTTATTTCTGACGTACGCACAAAGACATCGTCGGTATTCTTATCACACACATTTTATTTAGAAAGATAAAACCAAATATTCGAACCTTGCATATTCAAAGTAGCGGCATACTTTAAGTAAACTAAATCAACGAAAATTCCCCATAAATAAATTTTCTAAAAAATTTGTAAAATTTTTTTACCCAAGTATTTGTGACGGCCAAGAATCGGCCTATATAAATCCACTCCCTGTCGTTCTACAACCAGTTCAAAATGAAGCAACAATCGGTTGGAATTCTCCTTTGTGCCCTTCTGCTGACCACATTCGGCCACGGTAAGACATTTTTTTAGTTTAATAATAATTCAACGTCTCATTAAATTCGGCTTTTTTTTGCAGAGATTTTAAACCGGCATCATGCTGCTCATTCTGCTCGTTCCGCAAACTTAGCGCATTCTCGTGCAAAGTCGCCTTTGGTATCCACAGCTAGATCAACTTTCAGCGGTGGCTGTAACGTCATATGTGAACCAGGTAGATCTACTATAAAAATTCCTCACACTTTCTTTCTAACGTTTTGTCTTAGGACGGGAATCCAATAATATGACTGTGGCTGTTAGTTCTTCTGCGTCTGTTCTGGGAGTGTACAACGTTTCCGCACAGGTAGCCTTGGTAATAGATGCAAAAGCGAATCTACTTCTAATTTACAACTACGAAGAGAGGTGGGGCGTTATCATAAATATTGAAACCGAAGTTGTCGTAGCTGTTGATCATCGAAACGATAACACCAAGATAAGCTTTTACAACATTTTCGCAGGCAATGTTACATTGAAAGGTGCATTCGACCAAGGAGAAAAGATCACTATAGAGAAAGCGAGCGTGTTTATCCAAGCAAGTTTGGTTCTTTTGACCAATGGAGAGTACACTGTTAGTGCGTCAGAAGTATGGGGTCTCGTTATCCATATCGCTAGAACCGTATCCGTTTCTCTGAGAGCAGTTCTAGTAGTCATCAGAACCGGCTATTTCACGGCGGTCATCTCTTTACCCAGATTGATAGAAATTATCAACGGATTTGCCCACGTTGCGATCAACTCTGAAGGCGGTGTTAACCTCATCCTCGAACACAACGTGACCATCAGCTTGGAAGTACTTCTCAGCTTTAAGTCGACATTTGAAATTGCTGGATACATCTGGGAACAACTGATTGGAGCCGATTTGGAGCACATTTTCGACGGTTTGAACACCTACGTTTCTGTTCTTCAACTCCTTGCTGGTTTATCAGACAACAGCACTATTAACATCAACGGATACATCACTTTTCTTTCAAAACTCGTACTTTACATCGAGGGGAAGATATCTCTATCAGCCTTCGTGGAAGTTTTCGTCGAATTCATCGCCAAAAATAAAGGCAACGTCAACTTAGGCGCGGAATTTAGAGCAGCTGTTGATAGTTTGTATAAGTTGATCTTGAGGCTTCGTCTGGAGGAAAGATTGAAGTTTGTGTACGACCTTTTGGTGAAAATTAGAGAGGGCAAGTGGGTCGTGGCTGGAGTGAACATTAGTGCCATTATTAAAGAAATCGATGAAGGTCTTCATGGTAACGCCCTTCAGCTCATCATTGCAGTTTACAAATTACTTAAATTGAAGCTCTCGATCGAACTTGGTATAATCGTTTTGATACTGCACTTAATTGAACTTCTCACGGTTAGCGGTGGAGTTGTAATTGTCGCTGTGATTGTCGAGATTTCTATAAGCACAGAGATCGCGAAAGCTGGGGCTGGAGCTCTTGCTTTAATCCTCAGAGGCGTGAGGATCTTCGCTTGGTTTGGCGTGGGTCTTTACCAAACTCTGGCTCATGTTCCGGTGATCAGTCAGTTATTTGCCCAAATTACCATTCAGGTTAAGGCGGCCGGGTATCAAATAACTATTGAAGAATTATTCAAAAGCTCCGCTTGTGGTGAAGTCGTTAAAATAATAGGTGAGGTGGTCAAAGATCCATCTCATGCGCATCCAGGTGAGGGTTCAACGACTACCGAAAAAATTGAGGGTTCAACGACTACCGAAAAAATTGAGGTTTCAGCGAGTAGCGGAGAAGGTGAGGATGGCGGACATAAACCTGACTCAACAAAACATCCGGGTCATGGTCATGGTTCAAAGACTACCGCAAAAATTGAGGGTTCAACGACTACCGAAAAAACTAAGGATTCAGCGAGTAGCGAAGAAGGTGAGGATGGCGGACATAAACCTCACTCAACAGAACATCCGGGTCATGGTCATGGTCATGGTCATGGTCATGGTCATGGTCCACCAGGATCTTACGATAGAATTTACAACGCTCACGCAAAACGTCATGAAGCACAGGGAAAGCACCACAACCAGGAGAAAAAGAACAAGGCTTGAACAGAAACGAAGACCTATAATATCACAAATGAATTAAAAATATTGTAAACAATAAAATTTTAAGCATCATCTTCTTTTTGATTCATCTTCTGCACCAGTTTTTTCCACAGAATTGCTTCCCAAATTGCTAAAGTGACGGAAAATATTTATAACTGGGAACGCATAACAAACAGAAGAACTTTTCAAAAACGCAAGTTATGACGTCATCACTATTTTGGCAAGGACACTTGTGTCAATGAATGAGTATTCTCAAAAAACTTAAAAACTGAAATATGGAGAAATCGAACAATTGAAAAATTGAAACATAGGAAATAAAAGGATAAATCGAGAAATTGATAAATCAAAAAAAATTGAAAATTGAAAAATGTAAAAAATCGAGCGCTCGAAACATCAAAACGTCAAATTAAAATGAAAAGTTCCCAAAACTGAAAAATCGAGAAACGACGAAAAATTAGTAAATCGAAACATAAAAAAAATTAAGAAATATATACACAAAGTGTTCAGAAAATGACGTACCAACTCTATGACACGTTGTTCAGGAGCATTAATGGAGCAGAGAAAAATAATTTCAAAAATTGTTTTGTCAGTTGTAGAGGATATAATCTTGGATTTTTTTTCTTATCTAAAATCAAAAATTTAAAATAAAAAAACGAAAAATGAAAAACCAGAAAAATGAAGAATCGTAAAACTGAAAAATCCAGAATTTGAAAAATTCAAATGACGAAAAATTTGAAAATCGGAAAATGGTACAATTAAAAAATCTTAATATCGAAAAAGTGAAACAACGAGAAATAGAAAAGTCCTCAAAAATTCTTTTTTTTTTTCAATTTTTCATATTTTTTTTTGTTTCTTTAATTCTATGATAATGCAACTTTTCGGGTTTTCATTTTAGAATTTTCAGATTTTGATTGTCCAACTTCTAAATATTTCAATTTTTAGATTTTGCATTTTCAATTTCAATTTTCTCGAGTTTTCAAATTTTACTTTTTCAGTATTCTAACTCTTTAATTTTTGATTGTTTCAAATTTTCAATTGGCAATTTTTCGTTTCGGTTCTTTCTTTTTCTTTTTAATTTAAAATTTTTTAATTTCGCTTTAAATTTTTCAGCTTTTCGATTTTACAACTTTTGTGTGTTTCAATTTTGTAATTTTTCGATCTTGCAATGTTATGATTTTACGGTTTTCTTAGTTTTTTAATATGCAATTTTTCAACTTTAATGCTTCTTAATTTTTCGTTTCTTCCAATTTTTAGATTTTTCAGTTTCTCGATTTTGTAATTTTCCGTTTGTTCACTTTTTGATTTGCAATTATTATAGCTTTTATTTTAAATTTACAATAATTATAATTTTTAAAATGTTTTACGTGTCTGATTTCAACATTTTAGAACTGTTTGATTTTTCAAGTATTGGATATTCAAACTGTTTCATTTTTCAATTTTTCGATTTTGATTTTTTTTATTTCCCCGTTTTAATAAAAAATTAAAAAAAATTAAATATTACAATTTTTCAGTCCTTCAATGTTGCAGTTTTTCCACCGTACAATTTTAACGATGCTTTTTCGATTATACAGTTTTCTGGTTTTTCAACTTTTCGATTCTTTAATTTTTTCGGATTTTTTTGTTTTTCGAATTTTCATTTTTCGATTTTTAAATTTTTTAACTTTCTGAATCAAAACAATAGAAAAATTGCAAAACTGTAAAATTGAAAGATCCAAAATGGAAAAGCGAAAAAGTAAAAATGAAAAATCTAGAAACTGGAAATCAAGAAATTGAAAAATAAAAAATCGAAAGCTTAAAAATTGGGAAACTTAAAAATCGAAGTGCAAAGTCCAAAAAAGGAATATGTAATGTAAAATCGAAATATTGAAAATTAAAGAAATCAGAAAATCGGATAAACGAAAAATCCAAAAATTGCACAACTGTAAAAATTGAAATATTGGAAAATTAATATATCAAAAAATTGAAAAATCGACTCTTTAATTTTTGATTGTTTCAAATTTTCAGTAGGCAATTTTTCGTTTCGGTTCTTTCTTTTTTTTTCAATTTAAAATTGTTTAATTTCTCTTTAAATTTTTCAGCTTTTCTATTTTACAACTTTTGTGTGTTTCAATTTTTAAATTTTGTAATTTTTCGATTTGCAGTTTCACGAGTTTTGAATTTTTCGATTTTTCAATGTTATGATTTTATAGTTTTCTTTTTTTCAACCTTAACAGTTTTTAATTTTTCGTTTTTTGCAATTTTACGTTTTTCAGTTTCTCGATTTTGCAATTTTTCGTTACTTCACTTTTTGGTTCGCAATTTTTGTAGCTTTCATTTTAAATATGCAATAATTATAATTTTTAAATTTTTTTACGTTTCCGATTTCAACATTTTAGAATTTTTCGAATTTTCAATTATTGAATAATGAATATTCATACTTTTTCATTTTTTAATTTTTCGATTTTTATTTTTTTATTTCAAAAATGGAAAAACGAAAAATTGTAAAATGAAGAACCTAGAAACTGGAAATCAAGAACTTGAAAACTTGAAAAATCGAAAGCTTAAAAATTGAGAAACTTAGCAATCGAAGTGCAAAGTCAAAAAAACGAAATAATGTAAAATCGAAATATTGAAAATTAAAGAAATCAGAAAATCGGATAATCGAGAAATCGAAAAATTACACAACTGTAAAAATTTAAAAATTGGAAAATTGAGAAACTGAAAAATTAAAGATCGAAAATTTGAAAAATTTAATAAACGAAAAACTATAAAATCGAAAGAAACATTGAAAAAGATTAAGGAAATGAGAAATAAAAACCAAGAATGTGAAATATTGAGAAACGAATCTAAAAACTGATAAAACGAAAAAATTTTAAAAATCGAAAAATTGAAAAATCTAAAATCGAGAAGTCGAAAAACTGAACGATCGACGATTTGAAACATCAATAAACTGAAAAATCAAAAATTTACAAACTCGAAAAATTGAAAAATAGAAATTTCGAAGAAATGAAAAATTGAAAAACGTTAAAATTGAAAAATTGAAAAATCTCAAAATTGAGAAACATGGAAAAATCGACAAAATAAAAAGTCGAAAAATCGAAAATTTAAAAAAATCGCGAAGTTTATGAATTGAAATCTGAAAAGTCGAAGCACTGAAAAGTCGACAATCGGGAAATGGGAAAATTACAAAAATCGATTAGTCGAGAAATTTGAAAATCAAAAAATTGAAAATTTGGAGACGTCAAAAATTCAAAAATCGCAAAACTGAAATATTCCAACCTTGCATATTCAAAGTAGCGGCATACTTTAAGTAAACTAAATCAAAGAAAATTCCCCATAAATAAATTTTCTAAAAAATTTGTAAAATTTTTTTACCCAAGTATTTGTGACGGCCAAGAATCGGCCTATATAAATCCACTCCTTGGCGTTCTACCATCAGTTCAAAATGAAGCAACAATCGTTTGGAATTCTCCTTTGTGCCCTTCTGCTGACCACCTTCGGCCACGGTAAGACAATTTTTTAGTTTAATGATAATTCAACTTCTCATTAAATTCGGCTTTTACTTCATGTTGCAGAGATTTTAAACCGGCATCATGCTGCTCGTTCTGCTCGTTCCGCAAACGTAGCGCATTCTCGTGCAAAGTCGCCTTTGGTATCCACAGCTAGATCAACTTTCAGCGGTGGCTGTAACGTCATATGTGAACCAGGTAGATCTACTATAAAAATTCCTCACACTTTCTTTCTAACGTTTTGTCTTAGGACGGGAATCCAATAATATGACTGTGGCTGTTAGTTCTTCTGCGTCTGTTCTGGGAGTGTACAACGTTTCCGCACAGGTAGCCTTGGTAATAGATGCAAAAGCGAATCTACTTCTAATTTACAACTACGAAGAGAGGTGGGGCGTTATCATAAATATTGAAACCGAAGTTGTCGTAGCTGTTGATCATCGAAACGATAACACCAAGATAAGCTTTTACAACATTTTCGCAGGCAATGTTACATTGAAAGGTGCATTCGACCAAGGAGAAAAGATCACTAAAGAGAAAACGAGCGTGTTTATCCAAGCAAGTTTGGTTCTTTTGACCAATGGAGAGTACACTGTTAGTGCGTCAGAAGTATGGGGTCTCATTATCCACATCGCTAGAACCGTATCAGTTTCTCTGAGAGCAGTTCTAGTAGTCATCAGAACCGGCTATTTCACGGCGGTCATCTCTTTACCCAGATTGATAGAAATTATCAACAGATTTGCCCACGTAGCAATCAACTCTGAAGGCGGTGTTAACCTCATCCTCGAACACAACGTGACCATCAGCTTGGAAGTACTTCTCAGCTTTAAATCGACATTTGAAATTGCTGGATACATCTGGGAACAACTGATTGGAGCCGATTTGGAGCACATTTTCGACGGTTTGAACACCGACGTTTCTGTTCTTCAACTCCTTGCTGGTTTATCAGACAACAGCACTATTAACATCAACGGATACATCACTTTTCTTTCAAAACTCGTACTTTACATCGAGGGGAAGATATCTCTATCAGTCTTCGTGGAAGTGTTCGTCGAATTCATCGCCAAAAATAAAGGCAACGTCAACTTAGGCGCTGAATTTAGAGCAGCTGTTGACAGTTTGTATAAATTGATCATGAGGCTTCGTCTGGAAGAAAGATTGAAGTTTGTGTACGACCTTTTGGTGAAAATTAGAGAGGGCAAGTGGGTCGTGGCTGGAGTGAACATAAATGCCATTATTAAAGAAATCGACGAAGGTCTTCATGGAAACGCCCTTCAGCTCATCATTGCAGTTTACAAATTGCTTAAATTGAAGCTCTCGATCGAACTTGGTATAATCGTTTTGATACTGCACTTAATTGAACTTCTCACGGTTAGCGGTGGAGTTGTAATTGTTGCTGTGATTGTCGAGATTTCTATAAGCACAGAGATCGCGAAAGCTGGGGCTGGAGCTCTTGGTTTAATCCTGAGAGGCGTGAGGATTCTCGGTTTGTTCGGTGTGGGTCTTTACCAAACTCTGGCCCATCTTCCGGTGATCAG